ACCCAAACACAAAACAGTCGAGTCGAGAGATCCTGAGGTAAGGCGCGTAGCCGAGACCTCCAGGAACTTAAGATGAACACAAATAAGGATGATCACCGAGTGTTCAAACGGTGACGTCCAAGTCTTGAGGACGGTCAAAAATGGGGTGTCTACACACCCTTAACATCTATATCTGATATCTGTTATCTGTTGTCTAGTACTAAGGTTTCATGTGGGTTCCATTCATGGAACTGATTATGCATAATCAACTATCTAATCTGCACGTGGGTCTTTATAACCAATTTGATCTGTTAGCTAATGGATGTACCACGTATAACTGTTTACAAATCTGAATATGTATAAGAAAATGTTTCTAATCAGAATTCTGATTTCTGAATCTGTTATGGACATCATTCATCAAAACCTTTACTCTGATGCTATTCACTGGGCTCCAGCTCATTATTTATATTATATATATAGGTGATCAGGTGCATGACCAGACTTGAGACTTCCGGTCTGAATCTGTTTTGTCAGCCAACATGTGCGCCTCTCGAGGAGGTTCCGAAAATCTTTTGTGATCAAGTTTTAAGTTTAATTTTTTCTGTTTTGTTTGAACAACCTTTTGGTTACTCCGTATTAGGGCTAAGTCCCTTTATGTTTTATCTGTTTATGACTAACTTATATATATCAAGTTTTCAATTCTTTGTCTCATATAAGTCTGCACAACCCTATGGACATTGTATTTTGCTAATTGCTTCTGCTAGCTCCTTTAATTTATGAATGTGTTTCAGAGGTTTTCGGTAATCTCAGGATTACTGGCCGTTTACGATGCTAAACCTATAGGGACAGGTTTGGGTCGTGACATCCATCCCTTGCACTTTGGTCAAATCCTAAAAGTGCAGGTGGTTAAATGTCATGATTTCATATATATGGGTCAAGGTGAGATTTGGTACAAAGTGTAATATTTCTAAGGTGTACATGTAGACAAAATTAACAAAAATTTAAACGGAATGATCAAATTGAAACTAGACTGTAGGGACCAAATTGTTAAAATCAAAATGATAAGGATTAAAGTAAAATTTAGATCAAACAATAAGGGTGAAGAATGTAATTAAACCCAAGACTAATACTTGACCGTAATTGAGTTTGAACTGGGTGAGAGATATTACGAATTAGAAAACATAAAAAATAATTTATTAAAGAAAAGTGTTAATTAGAATTTATAATTCAATCAAGAATGATATAACAATGGAAGTAGGCCATGACTGGATTTATAACAAATTAAAAGTTCACGAATTATTTATCATGTCATGAGAAAGACTTTTTAAAAGTATCAAACTTTTTCCTTCATTCAACTTTAAAATTTGATATTTGATATTTGATATTTATTTAGTATGACAATATCCTAAGCCTCCGTTTGGCAAGCAAAAAGTCAGGCTTTTTTGGCTAAAATAGCCACAAAAAAACAAAATAGGCTATCCATTTGTTGCCCATAAGATATTTAGAGACATTGTCACACATTTCACCACTAAAGTAATTATTTTTTATATTTATTAAATATATTTTAAAGATGAATAATTAAAGGTTGACATTAGATTGAGTCGGGTTGGCCAAGCTTGTAAATTAATGCCCAAGTTAGTCCAACAGCCTTTTTCTAACAGGCTGGCCCGAGCTAACCCAAGGCTAAAAAAGTTTAACCCAAGTCTTATCTATCAAGCTTAACTCAGATAGGTTAATGGGTTAAGTCTAATGGGCCAATGAAACGAGCTTCAATACCAAGGTTAGGCCTTGCCCAAGCCTTTTTCGGGCTAGTCCAATTTGCTTGGTGTACAAGCTTGGGTTGAATAAATGCTCGGCCAAGCAGATTTGGGCCGAGCTACTAGCCTTCAGACCAAATGATGACTCTTACTTTTTATTTCATTTATTTTTTAAAAATAAGAAAATAATTAGTTTAAATTAAATTTTGTACTATTATATTTTACATTAAATCTGACATTAGTATTTTATTTTTTAAATATAACAATTAATTTTTTACACTTTCGATCGACTAGCAATTTGATATTTTCATTAATTTGATATTAAATTAGCTAAGGAAAGTTGTTGTTTGACCATCACATGAATCATTTTTTAATACAAACATATATGCATATTTTCTATTGTCTATTTCTTCTATTATATTTTTTCATCATGTTTTATCTTCGTACTGCATTTTCTAAATCAACCAGAAAATGAGTGGTCCATAATGGTCACTAGTGGTGAGTGTAAAAATAAAAAAATAAAAAAGTGAGAAAAAATATTATAAACAAATATAGAATAAATAAAAAATAGTAATATTACACGTATCAATTGAATATTAATTAGTGTATTAACATATATTATAATATTATAATATTATTATTTTAAAATTATGGATCTCACTTATTATATAAATTATAAAGATCTAAAATTTTTAAAATTATATCACATCATCCGTTAGTATATCAATTGGTGCGTATGGTCCCTATAGTTTGGGCTCGTATCATTTTGATCTCTAACTTTTCAATTGTGACACATTTGATTCTGAATTTTTAATCTTGCTTCAAATAAGGACAATTGAAGATACTGTTACTCAATTTCAATGACAAAGTCATCAATTTGATAAAATATAAACTATTTTGACAAAAATAAATATCAAAAAAATATTTGTAAATTTTTAAAAATTATTTCTACACATCAAAGATAAAATTATGTAAAATTGATAATTTTTTTACGCATTTATTTTTCTATTTATTTTGTCAAATTAATTTTTATTATGTGTTTGGATGATGATCATATAATGTGTGGCTGTTAGATTTTTAATGTGTAACCAATATATTTAATATATGAAATGTTTTTAGTTTTGGATTTTTTGATTTAATGAATTGATTTAATAATGATATCAAAATTGTCGTCATATTTGAGTTTTAGAAAAATAGAAACTAATTTAATGAAAATAAAAACAATCATCCATTATATAATCATTATCCAAACACATAACAAAAATTAATTTGGTTAAAAAAATAGGGTAAATTACAAAAAAAAAAAACAACACCCAAGGTTTAGCGTGTTTTGCAATTTAAATCCCAAGGCTTTAATTTTGACAATTAAAGCTCTAAAGTTTGTTCCATGTCACAATCTAAGCCCCCCGTCCATCTCAATTTCATGAAGTAACAGAGAAAGCCATTTTTTGCGCCAAAACTAACCCAAAACAACGCCATTTTTTATTAGCTCCATATAAAAAGCCCCAAATCTTTGATTTCATTCGATTAGGGCTAAACTTTGCCCCAATTTTTCAATTTCGTCGATTAGGGCAAAGGAGAAGACAAATCCAGAACGAAATGAAGCTTCATTTTTAGCGATTGCGAAATATGAGTGAAGGAAACAGTTAAGGTGGAAACAATTGGAGTAAATCGACTCGTTGTAGTTGTGGATTGAGAGCAAAGATCTGAACTTCATGGACCCATGCGAACCCAGCTAGGAGGTTTCTTGGCTGTCAAAATTATGGAGTACGTTTTCCACTACCGTGAATAATATGAAATTTGTTTATATTTTTGTTCCGTAAAACCTAGCTTTGATTAGTAATTTTAAATTTATTTATTTACTTATTTGTTTTTATTTTTTCAAAAAAACGGGGTTTGTGGCTTCTTCTCTTGGTATGATCCACCCACTTGTCCTCGTGGTAGACAAGTCTTGTCGAAGTTGGTGGAAAAGGTTGCAAGCTTGAAGGAAAAGGTAATTGAGATTGCAAAATTGTAGGAGGTTGTTCAAATTTATCGTGGTAGACAAAAATGGATTGCATCTGGATTGATTGTTGCAATGACTGTAATTGGAATGTTAACAGTGAGCAGTTTGGGAATGTAGGTTAGTTAGATAGTTAGTTAGTTAGTTAGTTAGTTAGCAGGTATGGTTTAGGAAATATAATGGCAACTATGCACTTGCCAATTTGAACTTAATGTATACTTTTGAATGAAATGAGAATTCCTTGTTTTGTTTTTAATATGTTTTTGGATTGTGGTAAAGTTTGTTTGACTGTCTAGATTTTTTAATGAAGTTTATGCATTTGTTTTGCCAATGCTCTGAATATGTTTGACAAAATGCCTAGGTGAAGAGAAATTGAAAAGAAACCAAGCATGAACTTGTTCCAAAGCAATATACACCATAAACCAAACCAATATACACCAAGCATGAATCAGACTACAAAAGAAGCCATTGTTCAACTTGTTTCAAACCAATATACAGCACAAACCACGCATAAAAAAAAATAATAAATAAATAAATAAAACTAATAACTTGTCAATCCCATTACAAACCAAGCATGTACAATAACCATCCAACATGTCAAAACCATTGATGTCAAGTAAATTGTTCCAAATACATAATCTGTCTTTAATTCCATTACAAAAAAAAATATAAATAAATAAATAAATATAAAACAGAGTAAAAAATTCAGGTGACATGACCATTACAAAAAAGAGCAGTTCATAATCACATCCTTCACAACATTTAGTTGACCATGGCTCTATTAACACTAGCCTGACTATCTATGACTTCTTCAACTTCATCCCTTCCCATGGTTGCTGCTAGTGTTGATGTCCTCTTTCGTGATGCCCTCATTAGTTGTTGCTGCACTTCACTGGTTGATCTTGTTGTAGGTCTCTTTTGTAGTGGTTGCTGCTGTTGTCCACCAGTTGATGTTGCCTTCCTTTGTGGTGGCTACTGCTGTTGCTGCTGTCCACTAGTTGATGTTTCCCCAGTTATTACATCTGGTCTGAATCCCATGGAAGTTTGTAGACTCCTCACCTGTTACCAAAAGCTTGTCAAACCACACTTGGAGCATGTATGGAGGTCAAATATATATTACAAATAGAGCATACCAGTACATTACTTACATTTTTAGATGAACTTGCAGCTCCATCCTTTTTACACTTCACAGGCCCCTTGCATGTTCTTTGATTATGACCATATACACCACACTTAGAGCATTTGAGGCTGGTATACTAACTCTACAACCTGAATGGGTCCTTAGGTTCATATAGGTCTCTAATTCTTTGCTTTTGAGGGCTACCAACTGGGCTTTTCAGCTTAAAAGGAAGTAAAGGGTCACAACCTATCTTAGGCCACTGATCTGGCCCATTTAATGAATTTATGAGTGCCTCATAAGTTCTCAAGTAGGTCTCTTTTTTGAAAGCCACATGCACATAATCCTTAACTCTCTCTTTTTGAAAGAAAATAACAGCCACAACATGAGGATAAGTGATTCCAGTTAGATCCCACTTGAAACAAGTGCACGTCCTATTCTCTAAGTTGACAACATAACCATTTACTCCATATCTAACTTCAAATTGAGCACCACCTGACCAAGTAGGTATCCATACTCCAGATTTTAGCTTTGCCTTCTTAATCTTAGTTTGTATGTTTGCACAGATTGGCCTTTGGTACTTGATCATTTTGTCGCTACATTTATATAGCCTCCCCATCAAAGCCCTCCCAATCCACTCTAACATGGTGAGGATGGATCTATCTCTAGCTGGTAAGATCCAATTGTTAAAATACTCTGAAATATTGTTCAACAATCTATTACACTTTGTTCTAGGATTGAATGCATGCCTCGACCACTGAGTTAGATTAACTCTCATCGTCCAATCATATGGTTTACTATCTACACTATGCAACTTAGTCATATGCTTCTCCCAATCAATCCTTGTATATGCCTTTGCAGATTTTCATACACAATTCTTAAGCTCATTCCCTTTAAATTCCCTTTTAAAATTTGCATAGAGGTATCTGAAACAAAACCTATAATTGCCTTCAGGGCACATTTCTTCAAGAGTTGGAACCAGTCCCTGTAAAAAATAAATGTAAAAACCATGAGCAATGAAAAACATTAAAGAACATAACAGATTAATGAAAAAATTATTAAACATAAAAGTACCTTTTGTTGATCAGTGATGAAGGTCCATGCTCTGCACTTGTGCTAATACATTCAAACAAATTCTGTACAAACCAAGTCTAACTTTATTTATTCTTACTCTCAGCTACTGCATAAGCAATTGGGAACATCATGTTGTTTCCATCCCATCCCACTGTAGCAAATAATTGCCCTTGACAAGGTCCTTTCAAAAGACAAGCATCCAAGCCAATCAATGGCCTCACACCAGCTAAAAACCCTCTCTTGATTCCATCAAGGCACACAAAGATTCTTTGGAACCTAGGCTAAATTTCAAGTTGAGGCCTCCATACATTGATGTAAACTCTTGTACCTGGATTGGTCCTTATCAACTCAGCAGCATAATCCCACTGTTTTGTATATTGTTCAGCATTGGTTCCCTCAATTTGCAACAATGCTTGTTTCTTAGCTCTATAACATTTCATTTTGAATACTTCTACAACACAACCATCTTTCATAGTGTCCTTGAACTCATTTATTTTCCAAGTAGGGTTGGTCCTGAATTTGTTTACATACTTAGATGCTAAAAATGAACTAGTTACTTGTCTGTTCTTGTAAGTTCTGTTGCAAGTATGTGTAAGTTTGTATGTCTTAATCTGTAATGTGTTCTCTTCAGTCATCTTAGATGCATAAAGCTTCCACTCACACCCATCACTACAGTTCACTTGAACCTTCCATGTCTCACTTTTTGTGAATTTGACATCATAGCCCCCTTTAACTGCATATTCACTCACAAAATTTTTAAATTCAATGGCATTATTAAACAACATTCCAATTTTAAATTCAATATTAGCTATATCAACCTTAGACCTAAATTCAGGGTACTTTGGCTTTTCATTGCCCTCCTTATCAGATTCTTCAGGGGTTAGTAATTCTTCCTCAGATGAAACCCTATCATTCACAACACATTCCTCAAATGCATTGCCTCATTTTCCATTTGGTTCCTTGTCTACATTACCACCAAACATTACATCATCCTCAGTAGGGTCATCCTTACTACTATCTAAGAAATCACTATATGATGAGTCATCATTTTGGTCATCTTCACTGTTTGCTTCATCTTAATACTCACGATACTGAGGATGTTGAGCATTTTCATCATCATTTATAGGGACATCAGTAATGAACAAAACAGGGTAAGGAGTGTCTACATTGTGTGGCATATGATGCTCAACAAATAATTCTAAGGTGTTTGTAGAGCCTAGATATTGAAACATTTCTAAAACATCTTGGTCAGTGCCTAATCTTCGTAACCCTCTAACTAGATCTTTTGTGGGAATCCTATAAAAAAAATTGTTTGTAATTAAATATCTCCAACTTCTTGACCATAAACATCAGCTTAGGGACAAAAAATGTATCAACCTCAACAGTATCAAACACATCTACTTTACCCCCAAAGTAACTCCTACGCCCACCATCACTATCAATAAGGTACCCACTATGATGTAAAACCAATTTCATATTTATATCATCCATTGTTGCATTCACAAATAAACAAATATATCATAAATAATACATGGGACAACATATAGCAAAAGAACCACCTTTGATGACAAAAATGCATCAAAAATCAATAGGATAAACAGGTGGCATGGGACCAACCACACTGTCAGCCAATCACTCAGTCAATAAAGTGGTCCATCAATGGAGATAAAAAATTTCATATAAAAAGGACAATAATGTAAGCAACACACACACACACACATATTCATGCAATAAAGTAAGATACATGCACAGAGTTTGTCATTATTTTATTCACAGAATAAAAAAAAACTTCATACACAAATTACAAAAATAAAGAAACACAAAAAATTCGTATAAATCACTTACCAACACTCCAAATAACAGTATGCACCAATACTTCAAACACTGCTCTAGATTTTTCTCGAAATCACAATAACCCCTTTGTCCTAATCGACGAAATCGAAGAAATTAGGGCGAAGTTTAGCCCTAATCGAATGAAATCAAAGATTTGGGGCCTTTTATATGGGACTAATAAAAAACGGCGTCGTTTTGGGTTGGTTTAGGCGCCAAAAATGGTTTTGTCCGTTACTTCATGAAACAGAGATGGACGGGGGGCTTAGATTGTGACACAGAAGAAATTTCAAAGTTTTAATTGTCAAAATTAAAACCATAGGGTTTAAATTGCAAAACACGCTAAACCTTGGTTTTTTTTTTTTAATTTGCCCAAAAAATAAATGTGTAAAACATTTATCAATTTTACATAATTTAATCTTTGGTGGGTAGAAATAATTTTTAAAAATTTAAAAATATTTTTTTAACATTTATTTTTGTCAAATTAGTTTATATTTTATCAAATTGATGACTTTGTCCTTCAAATTGAGTAATGGTATCTTCAATTGTCCTTATTTGAAACAAAATTTAAATTCAATATCAAATGTGTCACAATTGAAAAGTTAGAGACCAAAGTGACACAATGTCCAAACTATAAGGAGCGTTAGTGTAATTTGCCCTTTATTAAATGAAGAAAATTACAAAGTTTACTTAAAAAATGGCACAAGACAAATTTTGTTAAAAATTTTAAAATAATTTATAAATACATCACTTGAGATTCACATAAAATACAGATTGTGTTCTATGTTTTGAAAAATTATAAATATCTCATTGTTAAAATTTTTTATTTAACAAAATTAATTAAAAAAATAAAATTTCTAATTGCTCTACTATACAATAATAAAATTAACTGAATTATTAATTAAAATAAATTTTTAACATTATTAAAACTATTAATTAACTTGATAATTTATTAATAAAAATGATTATTTGTTATAAAATTTAAAACTTCAAGAAACATGATATAATTTTTAAAATAATAAGGAATGATTTATATTTTAAACAAATTTCAAAGAATATATTTATAATTTATCTGAAATTTTAATACCAAACTAATGGAATGGTCAAATTGTAATTTAACTTAAAGTTAAAGTTGAATATTATAATTAAAAAAATAATGGATTAAAATAAAATTTAATGTATAATATAAGAAAAAATTATTGATTACTCTTGGATGTCACATGGGCCATGGCTATATTTCTCAACAATCACAATTCACTATATTTTTTATAGAGTAATGCTAGAGATCTCAAATATTCTACTAAAAGTTTTATCAAATATCTCACATGGGTGTGGGACCCACACAATGTGGGTCCCATGTAGGTCCCACACCCATGTGAGACATTTGGTAAAACTTTTGGTAGAATTTTTGGGGTCTCTAACATTTTTATTTTTTATATTCCTTAGCCTCCGTTTGGGAAGTGGGTTGGCTTTTTGGCTTTTTTGGCTATTTTAGCCTGGGCTAAAAAGCTTGGTTTGGGAAGAACTTTTTGGCTTTTTTGACTTTTTTTGTGAGAGAAGAGTATAATGATTATGAGATGGATGTGATGTTTTATTTTTTGTGACTAAAATAGCCTATTTTGTCTTTTGTGGCTAAAATAGCCAAAAAAACCCCAAATAGCTCTTCCCAAATGGAGCCTTTGTATGGGCTAACGATTTTAGTTTCTTGTTTAGTTGGAATTTATGGGCATGCTTACATTTGGAACTAGTTTACATGCACAAAACTTTTTTTAATATACATTTGTTTTTAGTTATGGTTTATTTTGAAGGAATGGTTGAAATGATCTAAAATCAAAGCCGTTCATTTTTATTTATAAATATTTTTTTGAATTGCTTGATGTTATCTATGTGCAAGTACTTTTGTAGCCGTTTGTTTTTTCAGATTACAATGTGTAAATTATTTATGTAAGAAATTAGGTCGATGAGATAATCATTTGTCACATCTGTTTCTAGAAAAATGGATAGTGTCTGAGATTGAGAGAGAGCGATCCGAGGACATTGTTCGCAACAACGATGGAGATGGGTCCGATAGAAGAGACGATCATCGGAAGAAGAAACAGAGAGAGCATGGGTTCGGTGGGAGTTTCAGAAAAGCGAAGAGGGTTGCTCTGTTTCAATTCAGAAAGGCCGAGAAACAACTCCACAGGAAGAACAAGAAGGGTTCAAATCAATCTTCTTCGATTACTGGCTGTTTAGGTAAGAGAATTGTTGGTGTTGGTGGTGGTGGTGGTTATTATTGTTGTTTTAAGCAAACCCCAACTTTGGATTCCCCTGTTGAGTCCACAACAAGCGATCCCAACAGTGCTGAGTTTACTTATGAGTTGTTGAGAGCTTTGATTGAAACCAATGATTTCTATTCCAAAGAATGCAATACCCATTTAGATATAATCAATACAGATGAGAATTGAATGAATGAAGGAATGAATGAATGAATGAAGACTTTTGTGCTGGTTTCAATTCGATTTTTGGGGAAATTGTTTCGATTAATGGGTCAGTTATTGTTGTTGCAAGAATTGCAATTGCAGTCTGCAAACGAGAGAATGTAAATTTTTGTGCATTTGTGAATTGCTATCAATGATCAGTGTGTAGGATATGATATTTTGGAAAGAATCGGAAACCAGGATCGAAGAGTTGTAAGAGATAAATACAAACACCGATCACTTCTGCAAGAAATTTTTTTGGCCGGTGGGTTGTTGAATGGATTGAATGTGGTTGTTTGAAAGTATCAATAATTCATTATTGGGTTGCATTGCTTGGGGAACCTTGACTTTTATACGCCATTCAGAAGTTTCGATTATGGATTTTGAGTCGTGTCTCTTTATTTCAATGTGAAGTACAAGGAAACTACAATTCAGGTCGATTTTGTGTTTTCATCTTTGTATAGTGATTTAGGTGCACTCATATGCTTGACTGATTGAGTTTTTTTTTTTTGGTGTTTCACCCATTGAATTCATTCAAATTATAGTCTTTTAGAATTGTAATTGTGTTTCCATTTTTTTGTTTTTTGTAAATTGTAAAGTAATTTTTTCAGAATCCAACGGTTGATTTTTGTGGTTTTCTTCAATTGTTGCATCTTTCTTATTTTTCATGGCAGGGCAGTACTTTCAAAATCCTAACCACTCATGGTTTGATGTAGGTTGTTAGACATACGACTAATGTTCATGGTAGTAATATGCATATTTTCAATCCTGTCATCTCACTATTGGTTGCCTTTTTCCAATTTAGTATATATATATATATTTAATAATTATCTTTGGAACATGCTTGGCATGATGTTTAGAGTCAGTCGCTTGGTATTGTTTGATGAAGAGGTGAAGTGAATACAAAAATATTTATAGGGAACCGAATATCAAGAAATGCAGTGCGAGTCAATTTGTCTTACCAGAGGTGGTGTATGTTGCAGTTGCAGATGGGATTTAAATGCCATGAGCTCACAATGCTTGGTGCCTAATTTGTAAACTTGTTTGCTAGAACTGAAGCATTTCTCTAGTGGATGAGATTACGGATTTAGAGTTTAGTACATTGGTCACATTTTGCATCTAGCAGTATGGTTTTCTTTAAATAAAGCATAAGTTTTGTTCTGCACTGCATCTAGGGCCTAATATAATACTATATTTACTGTTTCATTTCCATCTCAATTTGTTCAGGGCTGCCAGTGACTCGGTGTCATTTGACGAAGAGTTGGAATATAGAAATGTTGGGAGAGGGACCAAATATCAAGAAATGCAATGCTAGTTAGAATGCAACGCACCAGGGGTGGAATGTGTTAATGCCGTCTGTGATAGAGTTTGTTTCTTGTCCTCTTTATAGGCTTTGGCCCCCTTTCCTTTTAGGGGTACAATCCAATTTGATATTGGAGGGCACCGCGTGACATGTAACTTGAGACACTGATTTCTTTTCTTTTTTCCTTTGTGGAAGACTTCTTGTCATCCAACTCTCTTGGAATCGCTTTTTTCCTTTATTAACGATAGTCTCTTTTATTGCCGTTCAAAAAACAAGAATATGTTGTAGGTGGGGTTTGAGTGCCACGAGATCGCAATGTAATCAAGTTGTAAACTTTTTCCTATAACTGAAGCATTTCTCTGGTGGATAAGATTATGGGAAAGACTACTATTGAGAGATTTGTGATTAATTTGAGTCAAGTAAAGTGCTCACATTTGTTTGGTTTTGGGTAAAGTTGTTTTGAGCTGCATCTAGGGCCTAAGACTATAATATTTCCCCTTGGGTAAAGTTGTTTTGAGCTGCATCTAGGGCCTAAGACTATAATATTTCCCCTTTTTTTCTTTGTTATTGACATGGATAGGCCCACAAGGCATACGGCCCACGGCAAACCACCCCGAACCCATCGCTTGGGGCCAATGGCACAACCCGGTTGACAAGGCCCAGAACAGCTGGAGGCCACCTAGACATGAAGGGCCAACGGCATTTAGGCACACGGCAGGTGGGACACGGGCCACATCAGCAGACAAAGATCTGCAGAGTTATTATCACAACACATCACCATTAATGCGACCCATCACAGCATTTATTACAACAGCACTCCCCGCCGGAACAGAGCCTCCATCACCCTAAACAAGATGAGCTATGGCACAGGCTTTCGGCGAAAAAAAGCACGTCACAGGAGACAGGAAAAATGATGACAAAAGGATATAAGCAAGGATAAGAGGAAAGAAAAAGGGGAAGTTATCTCTCTCTTGATCTCTCGATATACAGTTTTTCATACTCTGCTCTACTAATTCTTGCACCGGAGGGTTCACTGGGGGACTACCCCGTTCCCCCCCGAACTTGCATGCAGGTCATCTGACGGAGTCTCCTTCGTGAGCCGGAGCCTGAAGAGCCTGGGCCGGTCCGACCCATCCACCCGGGAACCGATACCTCATCAGTTATCATCTCGATTTGTTCAGGCCTGCCACCCACAGTAGGTGCGGAAGACATGGATGGCCTGACAACAGATTCAGTGTCTACGGTATATTTTTATCCTCTCCTTACTGATACTTATGTCTGTTAAATATGCATTAGAATTGTTTTTTTAAAGCTAGTGATTGAAGGTTGATGGTGATAGAAAAAGCAATGTTGTAACCATAGGACAAAGAAACTAGAAGTAAATCAAATTGATAATCTTAGAACTTACACGAGATCAGACAGTAAGAGTGTATTTAGTTACCTGTGATGGTTTGTTTTTTCCTGATTTATCTGTGTGTGCATGTGATAAAATATTTAATAGTATCTCAATCTGTATCACTACAAATTAATACTAAAGTTGTTGGCCGAATAAAGCATGTCTATATACTTCTAGGACCTTGTCATACATTTGTTTTATCAAAATGATTTTTGAAACCAAGATGCACACGCTTCCATCTTCCATCTTTTGCACACGATTCATTGGTGCTCCTCTTCAATTCTTGAAATGAGTTGGACGTTGAATTGTGAGTTCAGGGTGTGTTTGGTGATCGGAAATACATAAAGGATTTATTTATTTAGTTTTCTTTCCCCAACCACTATGTAAAGAATATTCCAAATTAGTATAGAGAATATTGTTTGGAATATGCTCTTTGTGATATCATGTCAACTATTTTTGTTAAGTAACATCAGGAAAACCATGTTTATGTATGATGCCTTGCAGAATTATTCTTGTCGCGTAGAAGTCATAAAAATTTATTCTTTGATACAGAACTCTAACCTAAATAATAGTAATTTGGAATAAGTCTCTGGATGATAATAATGTTTTCAATTGTTGTATTGTCTAATATAATGGCACTCCGAGGCCATTTCCTGGAAGCTAACCAAAACCAGAGGAAATTTTGGGTGGGAAAATTAGCCAAAGTAATCTCATAAGTAATGGCTGTTAGTAACGCTGATGATTAGATAGCTCTGTGACATTCTTTGCAATGAGGATTCTTTGTGAAGTTTTTTTTTTGGTTGTTGTTAGTGTTGGATAAAACAAAATGGTAGTCATTTTTTAGCGTCGTAATAGTTGAAGGACAGATTCAGAGTGCCTCATGTCCAGGCAGAAGCTTCGACATAGAGTGTGTTTGTAGCTGAAGCTGAACTCCTGAAGAGGCCGATGCATTAGAATTTCTGATTCTAATGCAGAAGCAAATCGGAGGAGTGGAAACTAAAAAGCATAATGTTGTGTTTAGTTGGGGGATTTAGAGAAGGATTTGAAAATAGAAATGGAACAGGTGTGTGAAACTAGGTAAAATGTAGGTATATTTTATTCTCATTTCACCTATCTTAACTCTCTTTCTCTTTCTAAATTTCTTTCTAAATCCTCTAACCAAATACAGTGTAAAGAAACAGTTTTTGGGAACATCTCAAAGTGCGATGATGAAAGCGTCAACTCTACTGGAGCACAAGCAATGGTACAAGCTCTCTCTCTGGGTGATGGAATACATGCCTATAGAGGTAATCTTGCTTTAGTAGTTCAACTTCAGATGAATCCTAACTATACCCATTTCACTTCTAGTTTTTTTTGTGCTCTCCCACTAACATCCTGTGGGACTCCAGGCAATGCATAGATTATTGCTCTGTCACGTGACATAGTATTACTGTTACATCTAATATTTTTAATCCGCTAAGAGGCAAGCAATTTGCCCTGCCCTCACTCCATCCCCGCATCCCACCACGGGAAGGGGATGGTTTGCACCGTTCCTATTCTATTTTCACCGTTCTCGTCTCTATTATAATAAATAAACACATTTTATAATTATATATTTACATATAATTTAAATCACATTGGTTTGAATAACAATAGCTTCACATCCCACTTCTCAATTTTCACTTGCTGATATCTCGATTGGTGTCCTTTTATCTAGAAGTCAAGTTTTTGCCAAAGATTAAATTAAGGCCTTGTTTGGGATTTTATTTTTTTAATAATTTTTTTATGAGTTCAAGATAATTAATGTGTTTGGGAATGACTTTTTTAGTTATATGGAAAAACATGAATAACTAGTGTGTTTGATTTGTTGTTTTAGTAACTATAACTTTTTGACATTTTTAGTGATTATTTGACTTTTTTATTTTATTTTTTAAAGCTTTTTTGATTTTTTGCTTAATAATCAAGTTGCCGATGATGCCTAAGAAACTTATGAAAACATTTGTGTGTAGACTATTTGCGTATGCTATTTATCATTATTATGTGGGACTAAGGCTAAGTTTGGGATTACTATTTTATTTTTTATATATTTTTTTATAAAAAATTAAAAAGTCACTAAATAAGTAAATCCTAAATTACATTTAAAATAGACAAAAAGTCAATATTAAAAAATCAATTATTTTCTTTACTTTTTATACGTCTTTTCATAAAAATTTCAAAAATTAATTAAAATAGTTAGTTTTGAAAATAATAATTAATTTATTATGTCAAGGACCCATTTGGCAACCAATTTTTTTGGTTAAAAAAATAAAAACCGAAATATCACTTCATTTACATAATCAATCATTAAAAAAATCATTCCAAACCCACAAATTTTTCATCCCATGAAAAAAATTAAAAAGTCAAAGTCAAGTTGTCAAACAGACTGAAAATGAGGTTGTGATGTAACTTTTTTTTAACTTTTGCATCATATATGGATGTATTTTTATGATCATCTTAATTGTTTCTTATATTATTTCTCTTCAAAAATTTTAATTTGATGTTGTATATTGATAGAAAATATCTAAGTAAGATTTGACAACATTTCCTTACTACTGGCCCATCCTCGATTTTCCCCATCCCATCAATGCCCCCAACAAAATAAAGAACAGAGGTAGGAGACTACAAATACCATCATTCCGAATTATTTTGAGGAGATGATTATAATTAATTTTTTAGTTAAAATTTGATTATAATTAATTTTTTGTAAGAGAAGAAAGTGTGCTATAATCTGAGAAGTAGATTATAATCCACTTCTCAAAAGACTTCGTTGTCATTCCTCCTAAGAGGGAGTGACTGGCACTCACATTAAGAGGAGAGAGAGAGAGACGATAGCCTATAAATTCATTAGGAATAATGCCATAATTGTTAAAATTTAAGTCTCAAGTTTAAAAATAATGTATTTTAAATTATCAAAAATGTCTATTTATTTAAGACACATTTTATTAAAAGGTTTATAGAGTCCTATAAATATATAAGACCACCCCACAAATCTAATTGCAACGTTCATATTAAAAGTTTGACACTCACGTCAGTCAGTCATCGATCATGCAACGTGACAAACATAATGACTTTATGATAGTGATTTGTCGTGCCTCTCATCAATTTTACAAACTATTTTCTTTTTTCATTATTATTTATTTATTTTCTTATTATTTTTTGTTCATCAATTTTATGATTCATGATTTTATTTTTGACATTTTTATGTACAAGTGAATTTTATATTGAAGTGATTTTAGTGTCTAAATCCCCAACAATAATGTATGAAGGACAAAAGTTGTTTGGTTTTATCTTTATTTTCTTTGTTTTCATTTTTAAGTTTATAGAAGAGGCCCGCCCTTGGTGCTTTGGTGAGGGTGCTTCATTATCATAAGTTTAAGTATATAATGGTGTTGACTTTTTTGACTTTTTTGATCCCTTATCATGTTCTCTCATAGTTAGTTCTACTACGTCAAGCTTGCAGTTAGACTTCCTTCCTGATTTTGAATTTGAACCTTGTGAGTAACTGTTAGGCCACATCACCTTATATTCCTTGATCATTCCAGTGTTACACAGACCCATTATGATCAGTATGGGTTGACACATGTCTGACTTTGGTTGGCGATTTATATTACTTTCCTAAATTGCCCTTCTCATGCCACGTGTTAAATCGTGATTGGCTTATACAATTTATACAACCAACATTAGCCCCCGCACTAATATACTTAATACTTGGTGATATTAGTAGATCAAAAACCTTAACCCACGTCCTAGGACGTGCATGGGTTTCACATCTTCTTAGAACTGCAACCGCCTGCATTAAATTCTTTTCCACACCTTGAACATTTCCCATTATCTGAGCATTCGAAAGGTCTGATACAGCTTACATGGCCAAACAAACTTGTTTTGACATAGATCGAGCATACGAGGAGTTGTTAGATAATAATGTTTGCCCTCGAAAGAATTTTCATGCATTTATTAGCCACTCCTATCCATCTCTCTATATTCAAGTCATGGAAGCTTTTGCAAACAATCAACTTTTGG